TCCATGGCTGCCGGTTCAGACCTGCTCCTCCCATGACTTCGGTCAAGCTCAATGGCAAGAACTATATTTTATGGGCCAAGTCAGTAGCTATTTTTCTGAAAGCCAAAGGCTTTGGCTCTCATTTGGTTAAGGATAAGCCTAAAGAAAGTGATGCAGATTTCAGTTCATGGGAACGAAGGGATGCTCAGATCATTTCCTTAATGCTGAATTGTATTGAACCTAATATCAGCTCCAACCTGTTGTATTTGGATACTGCCAAGGAGATATGGAATCGCATCCAACAGCTATATTCAGGTACTGGTAATATCACCAGAATTTATGAGGTGTGCAGACAATTCTTTGACCTCCGGCAAGGTACTCACAGTCTTGCAGAATACTTCTCCCAGTCAATGGGAATTTGTGAAGAACTGAACTTGTGTTAGCCTATCACCTCTGATATGAAGAGCATGCAACAACAACGCGAGGATTTTAATGTTGTTCGGTTTCTCACGGGGTTGTCACCCAAATATGAATATGTTCGTGCACAGATTTTGGGTAGCCCTACAATTCCCTCTCTTCCTGATATGTTCTCCATACTCCAACGTGTTACTCTATTTAGTGGCGCTTCTGGGAGTGCTTCAAGTGGTGTCACTACTCCTTCTAGTAGTGAATGTTCTGCATTAGTTGTGAACCAGGGTGGTTATCAGCCTTCTCGTGGCAGTGGCGGTCGTTTTACCCGTGGACGTGGCCGTGGTCGTGGCAGAGGCAAGACGCAAAACTCTGCACTCACTGCGGTCTTACTAATCACACTGTCAATTACTGTTGGGATCTTCATGGGAAACCGCCACCTTCTTCCTATGCATATCAAGTAACCTCTAATGAAGGGGATTCTTCTTTCTCTGCCACACCAATTGCTCCACAAGTGGCTGTTGAGCTTGCTATGGTTATCATGACAGTTTCCTGCGATGAGTATGCTCAGTTTATGTCTCAACAATGGCCTTCCACCTCATCTTCCATGGTTTCCTTTGCCCAATCAGGTAGTGCACCTGCATGTCTCTTATCCTCTCGTCAGAATCCCTGGATTCTTGACTCTGGCGCATCTGATCACATGACTGGTAGTTCTCATCTCTTATCTGATTTTCAATCTGTTCCTTCCTCTCACAGTGTTATTCTTGCTAATGGCTCCTTTACTAAAGTTTTGGGTGTGGGAAACACCCAACTCACCTCTTCTATGTCCCTTTCCTTTGTATAATATATTCCCCAATTCCCTTTTAATTTGATGTCCATTAGTCAAATTACTAAATCTCGCCGTTACATTTTATCCTTCATGTTGTATTTTTCAGGATCTCAAGACGATGAAGAAGATTGGTACGGGACATGAGGTAGGTGGCTTGTATTACTTTGATCTTGCACCATCTCCCACGGCTCTTCAATCATCTTTGTCTCCTTTCCAGTGGCACTGTCGTCTCGACCACCCATCATTATCAGTTTTGCAGCGTCAAGTCCCCAGTCTTAGTCTTAGTCGTGTTGAGTCCATACCTTGTGAAACATGTCAGTTTAGTAAGCATTGTCGTGTATCTTTCAAACCGAGAGCTACCAATCGTGTTGCTAGTCCTTTTTAGTTAATTCATTCAGATGTATGGGGCCCAATATAAAATATTTCTATTAATGGATTTCGTTATTTTGTGACTTTCGTGGATGATCATTCTCGTATGACTTGGTTGTTTTTAATGAAAAATCGTTCTGAGTTATTCTCTATTTTTCAAATATTTCGCAAAGAAATAAAAACTCAATTTGGATGTTCCACTAAAGTTTTACGTTCTGATAATGCCAAAGAATATTTCTCGGACCCTTTTGAGACTTATTTTCATGCTAAATGCATCATTCATCAATCATCTTGTACTTATACTCCTCAACAAAATGGAGTAGCTGAACGTAAAAATCGTCATCTCCTAAAAATATGTCGTGCCCTTTTATTCCATATGCATGTTCCCAAACGTTTTTGGAGTGATGTTGTTCTTACAGCCTGTCATCTTATTAATCGGATGCCTTTGTCGGTGTTACAAGGGAAATCTCCTCATTCTGTTCTATTTCCCAACTCTGTATCGTTTAATCTTACTCCTCGGGTCTTTGGATGTGTGTATTATGTCCATAATCTTGGGCCTGGTCTTGACAAACTCGACCCTCGTGCCACTAAGTGTGTCTTTCTTGGGTATTCTCGCACTCAGAAGGGTTATCGTTGCTACAGTCCTCATTTTTAGCGCTATTTCACTAGTGCTGATGTCTCATTTTCTGAGTCTCTCCCATATTTTTCTGATTCTACTACCCCTCTCGATATTACTCTTGAGCCACCTATGCCAACTGTTCCCTCTCTAGTTCCTGCTCCCACACCTCCTCGCTTAGCTGTCCCCTTGCAAGTCTATACTCTCCGACCTCGACTGCCTGCTTCGCTCCCTCCATCTCCTTCAGAGTCTTCGGATCCGACGCCATCTACTTTGCCTGATGATTTGCCTATTGCTCTCCGTAAGGGTACTCGGTCGTGTGTTACTGCACATTCCATTTCTAACTTTGTCTCCTACCATAATGTTTCATCCTCTTTATCTTGTTTTTTATCCAAAATGTCTGCTACTTTTGTTCCCAAGACTTTGCAGGATGCTCTTTTTAATTCGGATTGGCGTAAAGCCATGGTCGATGAAATGGATGCCCTTCACCGTAATCAGACTTGGGATCTTGTTCCCTTACCTCCGGGCTCCAAAATAGTTGGTTGTAAGTGGGTCTATACTGTTAAATACCTTCACGATGGGTCTATTGAGCGGTTGAAGGCTCGTCTGGTGGCAAAAGGGTACACTCAGACTTATGGCATTGACTACGATGAGACCTTTTCTCCTATTGCTAAGATTTCTTCTATTCGGGTACTTATTTCCATTGCTACCAATTATAACTGGCCGTTGTTTCAATTGGATGTCAAGAATGCCTTCTTGCATGGTGACTTAGTTGAAGAAGTTTATATGGAGCAACCACCTGGGTTTGTTGCTCAGGGGGAGTATCGTCACACTGTTTGTCAGGCCCTGTATGGATTGAAACAATCTCCATGGGCCTGGTTTGGAAAATTCTCTGAGGTGGCATTAGAATTTGATCTTAACAGATGCCAGACCGATCATTCGGTATTTCACTAGCGCACTAAAGCTGGCTTCATTTTTCTTGTGGTGTGTATAGATGATATTGTGATCACGGGTGATGATTCTGAAGGCATTGCTAAGTTGAAGTTGTTTTTGCAAAATCGATTTCACACTAAAGACTTGGGTAAACTTAGGTATTTCTTGGGTATTGAAGTTGCTAGATCCAAGAAGGGTATAAGTTTATCTCAACGCAAATATGTGTTGGACTTATTAGAAGAAACAGGTATGTTGAGTGGTTGTCCAGTTGATGCTCCTATGGATTCAAATACAAAACTTGTGTCTGATGAGGGTGATCTATTTAATGACCCGGGCAGATTTCGTCGCCTTGTTGGGAAATTAATTTATCTTACTATCACTCGGCCTGATATTTCATATGCAGTTAGTGTTGTAAGTCAGTTTATGGGAGCTCCTAGAATGCCACATTGGGTTGCTGTTCTTCGGATTATCCGATATCTCAAGCAAGCTCCAGGTTTTGGGTTACTAAATAAATCAAATGGTCATCTCAGGGTGGAATGTTTTACAGATGCTGATTGGGCTGGTTCTCCTTCAAACAGGAGATCTACTTTAGGCTACTGCACATTTGTAGGAGGAAATCTTGTTACATGGAAAAGTAAAAAATAAACGGTGGTAGCTCGATCTAGTGCTGACGCTGAGTATAGGGCAGTGGCCCATACCACTAGTGAGTTGACTTGGATACAACATTTTCTAAAAGAACTTGGGTTGACAGTTGAAACTCCTACTCCATTGTTCTGTGATAATCAAGCAGCTGTTCACATTGCATCAAATCTTGTGTTTCATGAGAGGACCAAACATATTGAAGTTGATTGTCACTTCATTCGAGAAAAAATATTAAGTGGCAGCATCTCTACTCCATTTGTGAAGTCTGAAGATCAATTAGTTGATATATTTACCAAAGCATTGTGACATAATCGGTTAGGGTCCGTTTGGATGGCGATAACGTTATATGTTATGGTTTGGTATGATATGAAAACAACCGTTTTGGTATTGATATGTTTTTAGTAGAAATCGGATCCATGTTTGGTAGCGATTGTTTTGTTTTTGATAATTGTATATCAGAAACATAATAACACGTTTGGTATTGTCATGCGTTTTAAAGAATCCGAAAACAAAACACGTTTGGGAAGTTAGTTTTGTTATCAAAAATTCTGAATCAATAACAAAAACCTGTTTGGTAAAGACTGTTTTGTTTTTGTTTTGAAAAATTATATATATGAATACAATTATAAGTTTATATATAAATAGTTCATTTTTCTTTATGATTTGAGATAATTTGTTAAAATTAAAAAAAATATATATATTCTGCATTAGAGTTGGAAAAAAAAATTATGAATAAATTTATATGTATAATGGCAACCAAACCAAAAGAAACAAAGCCATTTAGCAGATCTTTGCATTCCATTTATCTTTTTCTTTTGGCTTGCATTCCATTTAACTTTGTTTTGTTTTATTTCATATATATATATATTATATAAATTCATGATGAATGTAAGCAAGAGATCCTTGTAATTGAAACTAACAAGAAAAGCCAAAACATTGATCTTCTTGAATTGGTCAGAGTTGAGATTTGATGGACAGTGAAGCTTGTGAATAGTTTTACTTCACTGAGATTAGTTTGAAATTTTGTACTGGAGGTCCTTCAAATTGGTAATATTTTTTTTTGTTTAGTCACGAGACCATTTCCCATTTTCTTGAGTATTTATTTTGATAACTGACTTCTGAATATTTTATACAATCTCCAACCATAAGCAGAATTGATAAATATGAATACAGATTAAAAACAAGCAATCAAGGAAGATCCCTCTCTTACAAGACTGAACAACATTCACATATATACTTCCACTTATAGTTTTGCTTTGTACATCACAATCTTAAAAACTTGAGTGTTGCACCATTCACATCTATACTTCCACATATAAGGAGCTAGACATTCCTTAAAAATAGTATGTGTGTACACACACGCTTCATTACACTTACTTAAAATGTACACAAAACTGGAGATCACTAATATTCATTCCATAAAATGTACACCCACTTCTTTATACTTGCATAGGCCTCCATTTTATTAACTTAGAGATCACTAGCTTCCTGGAGTTGCAGCAGCTGGAGAATGCTTCCTATCAATCCCACTGGACATTCCATAAAATATAAAGCAGAGTTAAATTCAATTTTTTTGATTTTTTTTTTTTAAAAAAATTCGGCATGATTTCCCCTTAAAAATTGACATTTCCAAAATTCCAAAACACAATATACACAAGGGACACCGCCCACAAAATTAATTCAACAAGGGACACCGCTCACAAAATTCATTTGAACAAGGGACACCGTCCACAAAATTCATTTAACAAGGGACACCGTCCACAAATTTAATTCAAGCAAGATATATCTAACCTTTTTTCAGGCTAAGCTGCAAATTTAGAGTGTAAATGACCTCATGTAAAACAAAACACATGAACAATATTAGAGAAAAACAAAATAAAATACGGTAGGAATGAAATAATTAGAAGTAGTAAGCAAGATATATCTAACCTTTTTTCAGGCTAAGTTATAAATTTAAAGTGTAAATGACCTCGTGCAATTGGACAAATGGGTGTGTGCGATTACCTAGAGAAAGAAAATAAAAATAAAAATAACAAATAACAAATAACAAATTTGATTTTTGATCTTGAAACCATGGTCGTACAGTATTGAATTGCCTTTGATGTGATTCCTTCAAAGAGGAGGTGATCATTGGCTCTCAAGACTTTGCAAGGAAAAAATAACCCAAAATTACCTTCTCAAATGATTATTTTACTCTCACTTCCTTAACTGAAAAGGAAAAGTTATTTAAAATAGTGCAACTATCATATGCAAATCTAACATGCAGACAAGCACACACAGTTCAAAGAAACACAAGTGCAAAGGCTAATGGTGAGATGAATAAATGCTTTGCATCTAAAACCCAATGCACGAAACAATCAGTTGTGTTGTGATCCACTTCTTTCCAAACTTTGCCCATTCTAGAATCATACAGCTATGTCCTTTTAAATTCACAGGTGACATTTTATTCAGAAATACGTAGCATGTGCATGTACTGCACTACTGCATAGCTTTGCCTTTGACAAGAGAGAAAAATAGATGAAAAGATATGTACAAAAATCCACCCAATAGGGATGCCAAGAATATTTTAGTCACTTTCAACAATATGTGTTTTCTGCTTTTCTGGAAAAAGAGAATAAACCATGGCTGAAAAAGAGTACTACTGCATATCTTACTAATTGCAATTTTAATTGAAAATAAAGAATAGGTTTAAAAATTGTCGAAAAACATAAAATTAGCTTAAATCTTAAAAAAAGAATCAATATATTAAACATTGAATTAAAGATGGGGAGGGAGGAAGAAAAACTAGAAGTCCTGAATCTTAAAACATTAAACTCCCACCTCTCTAAAGTTGCTTCTTTTTCTCATTAACTTTACATAACTGTATATATAACTTGTGTAATGAATATATGTTGATGGGGTACCCACCAGAAATATATGTGTATCTGCTAATAAACTAAAGTACATCATAAGCTTAGCGAGAGATTAGATTGACAAGTTTGCCTTCCAAAATGGTGGATGTTCAGAAAGCAGATTCGTAATATAACTTTATAATTTTTTTAAAGAAAATGAAATCACTTGCTCATGACCTCTTATCTTCACAAAACCACGCAACAATTCCCGCTTGTAGTGGCAATCACCACTTAGATGACCAGCACGAATTTGTTTCACATGGAACATAGAAAAATGAATTACAGAAACTCCAACAAACTGACTGCAAGAAAATAGTCTGCTGGCATAGGGACGCAAACCTCGCTACAGGCATGATGAGCACAATTATACCAGTCCAAGTTTGCAGCACGACAGTCATCATATGCATGAATGAGCTCATGAATAACAACTTGATTGACCTCATCTTGAATGTTCATGTGATTACTACATACCACTATCTGAAAACCACAAAATATAGAATGAGAAATGGAATAAGTATGTCAAAATGTCATCCAACAAAAAGAAGACAACACAGATCAGTACGAAACACTCTAATAAGGCACACACAAAATTGAAAAAGAAAAAAGAAAAAAGAAAAAGGATTTTTAAAAGAGAACAAATTTTACTATCGATCTTGATAATTGACAAAAGATAACTTGATCAATCAAGATGACTTTAGAAAGAAAAGGTGCCAAAAGTTTACCAAAATTGTTCAATCAAAAGATAGTTATACTTGACGATAATTTAGCTCCAGTGCCAACCATATCTCATTGACATTGTAAGTGATCATTCACACACTAAACCACCAGGTTCAAGGGAATAAGCAGAAAGATAGTATTATTTCATTATTTAGACTCCACCTTTAACATATTGAAGTATGTATTTGGTTAAGCAACTTTTATCACACATGAAAATTCAGATGAAATTTGAAAAGTTATACTTTGGCCTAAATTTAAATGTGTGAGTTTCAAAGGTACCACAAAATTTGGAGAGTGGATGAACAATTAATTAATGATTCACTACAAGATTTATGCTTTCCAAAATTAATCTTTCAATTTAGGTCTTTGGATCAAATAAGTTTCAGGCACAAAAACTTTAAAATCGTCATGATGTAATCAGAAACAACTTGTAATCACTAAGAAGTGACTGGGGTCATAATTTGAGCTTGGTTTTTGATAAGTATTTGAAACCTATACTGAAAGATTAAATTCACACCTACAAATGAGTCTTTGACATTGAAATTTATTTGTTCAGTTGAACAGAAATGTGTACATTGATATAAGAGTATAACAGAGAGAATCATTACCCCCTCGGCCCGGACGTAACCGCCACTGATATGCTTGTCACAATGAACGGCCTTGATGAACTTATCCCCAATACTGCATCCAGATTTCTCCAAATGTTCCTTCAATAATTTGAAACCCCAAAATCACATACAAAAATGTGTACATCGATATAAGAGTATACAAAAGCCTCGAACTACCTCGCATAACGACTGATGAACTGAGAAGGGTTAAAGTTGAAACCCCAAAATCGCATCAAAGAGATGCGCGAAAACAGAGATAAATCATACAACAGACATAGATCTGAGAATCGAGAATTTGGATTTTGCTACTGTATATATGTATAGAGAGAGAGACAGAGGGAAAGAGCACCTAAAAGAGCGTCGATCTGTGGTTGCGAACAACTCTAGGGTTTCAGATTCGGGTCACAGAAATACATAACAGAGAGAGGATTGAGCTGAAAACCAAGTACGGGAGGGTTGATTGATTTGTATCCTAGCAACGACGATGTAAGGAAGGTTGAGATAGATCTAACTAGCTACGAAGGTGTAAGGAAAAGGATGTCGAATACTTGTCGCCCATGAAATCGCTTGCAAATGAGCTGCGTGATGAGAGAGAAAATGACGATGAAAAATGGTAGGTTTTCTGATATGTGATTTTTTATACTTGATATCACCGCTACAGTTAAACGAGGGTTGATATGGTTTTGGTTTGGGTTGATATGGCCGCTACAGTATACCATATCACCCAATATCAACAATTCTTTGATATGGGTTTTGGCCCAAATCTCATAATGTTTTTACACTGTTCAATATCACATCAGCTCACTCCAAACATGATATTGGCCCAAAAATGAAACCAAAACATGAAAACAATAACAGATATGGGCCTTCAAACAGGCCCTTAGAGACTATCTGTTCCAAGATGGGATTATTTGATGCATACTCTCCAGCTTGAGGGGGAGTGTTAGAATATTTTGGGTCATTATGTAATTACATATAGTTTGTAGGGTCATTGTGTATTAGCTGAGTCTTGTATCTTTATATAAGCCACTGTAGGCTTAGGGTTTGAGATATGAAATACACATATTCTGTAGCCACCATGATCTCTCTCTCTCTCTCTCTCTCATAAGTTTGATCTTGATGAGTTTTGAACTTTTGTTTCAATTGACTTCGTCAAAGTCATACTTGAATTGCTGTACAGCATGTGTAACACTGCAGTTCAGATGCTTTGATAATATATCTATTTAGATAAAATTAGAAGATATGCCTTGTACTGATGTTTAATTATTGAATTTTAGACTATCTAATATATGATAATTTACCATGTTCCCTTTTCCAATGCAGGTTTCTTGCTTTACCCCATCCAGGTCTTGCTATATATAAAAATTGCATTGAATTGGAATTGATGATCCTTGCATCTGCTGCTGGTGATAAAGAGTGTCTTGTAAGAGTCCGGAAGTTATATGAATCTGCACTTGCATCTTATGATCAGGATGCAAGCTTGTGGCAAGATTTTTACTCTATGGAGATTAAGGTAAACTTACTCGCTACATCTCCATAAAGTATGTGTGTGTCACTGGGTATGAGTGATGATATTCCAGACCCATTGTTCAACCCTTGCCTCGGATTAGTTCCTGGCGAACTCCATTGAGTTGTGGGCAAATGGATGACATAATCTAGAACTTCTTCCTGATCGAGATTATTATACAATTCCACAATCTATTGGGTTATTAATTAATTCTGTTAGTTGTCATATATGATGCAGAAATTTCTTAAGACAACTTATTTAGCACTAATTTTGCAGATGGGGACATCAGAAACAGCTAGTGCTATCCGTTGGCTTGCTCAGAAGACCCTTCTCAAAGACAACATTGCACTTTTTGCTTCTGCAGATTTGTGATGGTATAACCAATGACAGACATTCAGTTTTGAAATGTGTGATTTCTTCATTTGATTTATATATCTGATTGTAAAATACTTCGAGCAAGTAATATAATATTAAAAATCTCTCTCTCTCTCTCTCTGTGTATATGCATCAGCTCAAGCTGCAACGTTTTACCAAGGTGGTGCTTTTATATATATGGTGGCTGCGGGAGATAGAAATTATAGAATGGTGGTGGTCTGAGTGTGTGATTAGTTAGTAGCATGCAGGAATTGAACTCACAAGTATTCTCACCTTTGGTTGTCAAAAGCAGGAATATTCAAACAGCTTATATATTGTGGCTTTCTTCTATAGGAGTCAAACCAATTATGTGTTGAAAGATGTGTATGCACAGTTTTGCAATCAAAATGGGGTTTTGTTGGATCAAATTAAGTTTAAAGTGCTCTTTAAAACAAAATTTAGTTAACTCACCCGTTTGACCCTTAGGCGGTTCAAAAGGCCTGCATCCCAACTCATGTAATCATCTCAGTTGTTTCTGTGAGAGAGAGGAGGGGTAGAATAACAAATTTATATACTTCAAATAGCAGATCCCATTTTGTAAGAACATTCATTACACTGAATACACATTAGGAAACTCAATGCATGAGAGTCTTGCCATTATGGGGTTTGAAAAGGGTTATTCCATCTTACCTCGAAGTTGTTTTTGTATTTCTAATTAGTGACCAAATGGGAATCTCATAATTAGAATTAGAGTAAATTTAGTTCAAACCCCTCTAATTTTAACTCCAGGGCACAACATCAAATTAAACGAAGCTTGCTGATGCAACAATTGTTTGGGATTGATAGGTGTGAGTTTAATTTAAGTCACACAATTCTTCTAAATAAGTGTTGCTCTTCCATTTCGAGGGTGCTCCCACTCCTATTCCTACTTTGGGTCTGGCAGGATTTGAATTTGGTGTCTTTACATGTCAGGATATAGCAAACAATTCATTATATTGTCCATCAATCCATTTATACTTCAGTTCGATTCTTTTATCTCCCGTCAATGCTTAGAGCCCGTTTTTATTTCAATTCATTATATTTTTACCCAGGCAAATTATATGCTAGTGAATTCATATCTGATTTGTTAATTTATCAAGTATCCGATCCGATAACTCGATATGTTAACATGTATATTTTATGTTATAATAATTTTTTTTTTTTAAAAAACCAACAGACCTGTGGCCTAGCGGTATAAGGCTCCTACCTCCCAAAGGGAGGTCAGGGGTTCGACGAGTCCCAACTAGAAAAAAAAAAAAATTTAAAAAAAATAAAAGAGAAGAAGGAGAGAGAATGGCTAAAATATATGAAAAAGAGAGGATAAATCAGTGAGAAAAAAAACCAATAGCAGAAGACAAAATAAAATTTTTTTTTTTTAAATAAAGAATAATTTATGTACTTTAAGAATTCTAATCCTACAGATAATAAAATTCTATGCAAACAATACTTTGATTAAAATTTTCATCAACCAATACCAATTAAATGACAAATAATATATATATATATATATATATATATATATATATAGATGGCATATTTTATTTTACTAGTAAAACGTGTGATGCATGTGAATGAAAGTATGTGTATAACTGTAAAGTGTAAAGTAAAGAAAATAAAAAAATAATTTATCTATATAGAAGAATAATTTTACATTACTATTTATTATATATAAATAATATTAATTAAAAAAATAAAAACTCATAAAAATTGGGTAATTTGTGTTAGAGTTTTATGGAAACTCTTTTTATATTAATAGGTAATTTGTGTTACAATTATATAGAAACTCTTTACAAAACTCATTTTATATTAATTAATAATTTTTAATAATTCTATAGATATATTATTTATAAATTAATAGCTTGGAACACTCTAACTCCTTATTTTATTTTAGTTGGTTTTTGATTATTGGAATTTAGTATTTTTTTTTAGTTGATTTTTTTTTTATTGATATTTAATTTACATTATCTTATTAAATTAATTATAAATCAATGATTTGAAGATCTCTAGCCCCCTTGTACTTTTATTTTAAGGGTTAAGTACAAAAAAATTCTTTCACTATATACAAAATGTGCAATTAATTACCGCTATTTTTCAATAAATTCTTCTACATTTTATAATTTGTGCAATTAAGGACTTTTGAGAAAATTGAACAATAAATTGACTAATTTGTCCTTATAATAAAAATAATATATATAAAATAAATAAAATAGGGTTAAGTGCAAAAAAAAAAAACCGCTGAACTAAAAACCGCCCCCTGAACTATTAATTTGTTACAATTAAGGACAAATTAATCTCAAAACACTATTTTACCCTTTCTCATTAAAATTTTCATTTTTTATTAAATTATTTTTATTATTTTTTCTTTTTTGTAAATATTAATTATACTATTTAACTTAATTTTATTTTTAGTATTAATTTATCATAAAAATGAAAAAAAAAAGATAAATAGATTTGTAACTACCATTTTCTAAATTGATTAACTTATTATTAAAACTTTATTATTTATAATAAAATGTATCAATATCATTTTTCTATACAATATATTGATGAAAAATTAATAAAATACTTTTGAAAAAAATACCTTCTTTTCACGTAATATATTCATTAAAAATAAAAAATAATTAATTTTTTTATAAAAAAATTATACTAAAATTTTGTATTTAAATAAATAATTAAAAAAAATTAAAGGTAAATTTATGTATATTTAATGAAAAATATCTTATCAAATTAGTATGAATTTTTTCATAATTTATTTAAATAAGATAAATATATTAAATGTAATTCAATAAGAAAGGATATTATGGTCATTTCATAAAATATAGTATAGTATTATTTACAAATTCAAATATAGTTATAAGGGTTTGTGCCCGTATATGGACCAAAAAAATATAACTACTGTAAACAGTTTGTGCCCGTATATGGACCAAAATCCTCTCCATTGGAACAGTGCTCCTGTTTTGGCCGGTTTTCACTGTAGTAGCAGTAAAAAAGTAAAAAAAGTTAAAATCTGTATTTATGGAAATATAAATTATATACAGAATATATATGAATTATACGCATAATATATACATATATAAGAACAGTATTGCAGCCAATTTGAAAATTGAAATTTCAAAAGCCCGCCCTTTATTGTATCTTCTTCTCCCAAATCTCAAAATAGAATTAGATTTTTATTAGTTACCAAAACAAGAGAGAGGTCTTATTTCTT